GTGTTTAAGGGCATGACCGGCTATGATTTCCCGGCATTGCATTTCCCTTCTACCTTCACGCTCTCCCTTATCCTCCTTCCTAAACCCTCATACCCGTTCCCCAGAAAGAGAACAGATTTCCAAAGAGAGGAATGGTGAGAAAGGAGTGTCAGACAGGAAATGAGTATGAAAGATGCTGATTTTGTTGCTACTTAGGCTGAAATGAGAATGGTAAATCCTCCTGAGATACAGCCATTATCTGTGTTTCTTTCAGGTCCTGTTGGTGAATCTTTGTGAAGGAACCTTCTTAATGTCAGTGAGTATCTGGGTTCAGGTCCCCTGCAGGCCACCACCAACTCACTCACTCTAGTCTCATCCATGTTCCACTTACTTCAACAAACTTAAGTGCTTTTGTTGAGTGAGAACCCATGCTAATAAGGCTTCTCCTCTCTCAAGGAGCCACTACAGACCAAGACACAAATGACGTCACAAGTAGTACCTTTAGAGCAAGGGTATAAACCAGGCACCAAAAGGGGAGAGACTTGCTAATGCTTAGAGCCAAACTAAGGACCAAGAAACAGCTTCCTTTGTTTCTCTCCTACGTGGCCGATTATTAATTTGGGGATAGAGTGGGGGGTGCAGAATGTATGCCCTCCTCCTCTGCTAACAATGCCCCTTACACCTCCTCCCTGACTGCTTGACCTCTGAGCTGACTCTGTCCTCTCCTAGGTTGGTGACGAAAAAGACATCCTACCACCCAAGCTTCAGGATGACATCTTAGGCTCTCTTGGTCAGGGGATCAATGAGTTACCGAGTAAGTCCTAGGACCCTCTGATGTGGGGTTTCTCCAGAGAACTTGAGGGCATCATTCCCAACCATTCCCTTCCAGAACGAAAATGAATCCAACTCAGCAGTCCTGGGCCAGACCCAGAGGCCCAGATTCTAGGGCAAGTCTGAGTATGAGATTTTATCCTTCCCAAGCAATGGTGGGGAACCCACACCCAGTCTCCCATTTTGAGTCAATCAGTAATTTTGAACCCTACCCCAGCCCCTTTCCTGGGGTTTTCAGTCTGCAGCGACAGCCACAGGGAGGTAAGAGTGGGTAGTTTCACCTTCTGCTACCCTCGGAGATGACCTCTGTATGTCCCCTGCAGCTTCAGAACAAATCAACGAGCATGTGTCAGGTCCTTTCGTGCAGTTCTTTGTCAAGACTGTGGGTCACTACGCTTCCTATATCAAGCGGGAAGCCAATGGACAGGGCCGCTTCCAAGAACGGGCCTTCTGTAAGGCTCTGACCTCCAAGGCCAACCGCCGGTTCGTGAAGAAGTTTGTGAAGACACAGCTCTTCTCCCTTTTCATCCAGGAAGCGGAGAAAAGCAAGAGCCCTCCTGCAGGTATGCAGTCGCAGCCCCCATCATCAGGCCCAGGGGGGACTGCTGCCCCCAAGTCAGGTGTGGTGGGGTGAGGTGGGAAAGAGAGCATTTCCCTCTAGAGGCCCACACAGTCGCTGGGATCTTATCAGTGGGGTTGGAAAGAAATAGCCTGAAGCCTAAGAAAATGCCCCCTGGGCTGACATTTTATAGAAGTTGCTCTAGTTATCAGCCAGCAGGCCCCCTTTGGGGCCAAACTGAATACTTGGTTCTCCAGAGGCCTGTGAGGGCCAGGGGATCCCCGGGGAAGGTAATTAGGGGTGTAGCAGGGAAGCCTGGGGAGTAGACAAGGGATATTTCTGATTCTTGCCTGAGTTCATCGCAGTCGGCCTGGCCAAATGAGATGCCTCTAACACCTGTATCTCAACACACAGGCTATTTCCAACAGAAAATACGTGAATATGAGGAACAGAAAAAACAGAAGAAATCAAGGGAAAAGACTGTGAAATAAGCTATGGTGAAGGGGAGTGACCAGACCTACGGGCCAGTTTTGGACTTTGTCCCCTGCCAGCACAGTGGGGTCAGCGAAGCTCTCAGCCCCCGAACCCACAGCCACCTTCCAAGTCCTGGTAACCAGGTCTGGCTTCAAGCTGATGTCTTGAGTTTGGGATCTCTGGAATCAGCTTTCTCGAGACTTTAGAAGGCTCTGGGCTCAGAGCTGGCTCAAAGCTGCATTTCCTGCAGAGGTGACACAGCAGGAAACAGTAGCACAGGTGTTGTAGAGACTTACACGTTGCTGTAACCGCCCTGTCCCAGGAACCATGATGACAAAGTCCTCCGTGGAGACAGCAGGTGTGCCTCAAAGGCTCCGGCTCTGCACATAAACCGGGTCTGTGGACTTTTGAGGATAAGAATAAAAATGAAACTCTTCTTGTTTATATGTGTGTCTTTGGCTTCCACTATGGGTGGAGCGGGGGAGAACAAGGAAAACAAGGCAATAGGTGGGAGAATAAACCAGAATGAAGGGCCTGGTCCTGGCGGCCCAGAGCTCTGGGGCAGTGTTTGGAGTGGCGTAACTCTAGGGGTCAGCTTGCCACTTCTCACAGGAGGGATAAGGGATACTGATATGAGCAGCGACACTGGAGACAGGGCCGCGGTTGCTGGTTCTAGTCAGGTATGCTTCCCAGAATCCTGGGAGGAAAGATTGCTAGTCAGAATGAAACGTGCAGTCTAGGGTAACTCAAGGGTAGGAATTTCAGGGAGCAGGAGCCAGTGAAGAATGCCACATGGCTTCCATAAGTAGGTCTGTCTACCCATCACTTCCAGTTTGGAACCTTCGGTTTAGACATCCTACTTCCTACTCTGTGATTTTGGGAAGCCCAGTTCAACTCTAGCTGAAGGTGGAGGGAATCCCTGCATCGACATTTTTCCCTTTGAGAAAACAGAATCATAACCTTGAGTCCAAAGGAGCTTAGTAGTCACCTAGTCCCTCTTCCCTCTACCAATAGCTTCTGTTTAAACACTGTAAGGGACAGGAAACTTTTAGGAGCACCCTGTCTTTCAAGAATTCTTTAAAAAAAAAAATTTTTATTGGGGAATTGGGGGAGGGGAACAATGTTGGGGAATCAGGGAAGGAAAATAGACAAGTTGCTGTCCTTTTGTTCTTCAGTCTAGTTGTGGAGGACGTCGCTTCACTGGCCCATGTTGGTATTATCATTGCGCTCTTCCCGGGTGAGGGAGTCACTCGTTGGCCATTAGACGGCTGCTCATGGCAGCTCACACCGGCTGCCGGCCGCCCCCACACAGTAGCTCATGGCAGCCCACTGCAGCAGGGACTGCAGCCTATGCCGTCACCTCACGGCAGCCCAACTCCAGGTCGAGCTGTTGTTCACCATCTTAGCTGTAGAGGGCAGTGTCACTGGCCCTCATGTGGGATCTGAACTGGGGGCCCTGCTGCTCAGAGGTGGCGTCCCAAGCCAACTTTTAATCAATGCACCACTCGGCCAGCCCTAAAAAAAAAATTCTATAGTCTACCTTTTAATATGTGTATGGAAGTGTGGCCCTCAGAGGCCCCTGAATTCTATACAAAGAACGCAAATGTTTTAGGAGGGTGAGACAGGCCCAAGGTTACCCAATTAAATTAAAGCCATGCAATTTGATTCTGGGGGCACAGAGACCTACTGCACAGGGCAGATGTCCCACTGTCGACATGCTAACCACAACTACGCTGCAACTCTTCATAGCTTCTAAGAGTCATTGCATCTTTTTAGGTAGTTTATGGCAGTGTTTCCTAAAGCTAGTTGTACCTCAAAAGGTTCTAGAACAATGACTGGAATCCTGGGAAGCTTATGGAAATACTTTCTGAGGCCCCACCCCAAACCTACCAAATCATCTCGAGATAGGACTTGGGAACCTGTATTTTTAAAGCTTCTTAAAGTGATTTTGATACCTAACCAGGTATATGATGACAAGACGAATCACAGCAAGCTGGGATTCACTATAACCGTATCCTTACTCTGGTGCCGGCCATATCAGGAGCGGAAAGGACACACCAATTAACTAAGTGTTTTCCAGATTCCATTTGTGCTGAAAAAGATTCTAGCATCTCGGTGTATAGCGTTTGCCCACTAAAACCTAATACGGGATAGGAGAGAACACTGGACCAGGATTCAGAAGATCTGGATTCCAGTCTCCATTCAGAAAAGTCCCAGCCTTTTTAGACCTCAATTTCCACTGTAAGTATTAACCATCTGCTCTGTCTCCTGTAATGATCACATCAGACAGCAGATGTAATTGTGCCAAATAGACTTATCCTTCATTCTTTTTCCACTTTGTACTAGCTTTCAAACTTGATCTGCCCTAGCAATTCCTGTACGTACTTCTCCACCTACCCCAGATGCTAGAGAAGGTGCTAGCAAGCAAAGGTAATGAAAGATTTCACTTCCTGCTATAGTCTAGCAAAGAATTAAAGGTTTCACTGTAATGGCTAAACCAGATTACATGGGACTGATGAAACCACACAGTGCAAGAAAGAATTCTAGCTGCCAGGCAAGGCAATACAGCTATTGTTTATCCATGATTCTGGAAACAGGGCATAAATAAAAACCAGTAACAAGATACTTCATTTTAGCCAACAGTTGAAGCATTTTCTGCTGTCTCCCTCTTCTGGGGAGCAACTGAACTATCTATATACAATGAAAACACATCTGGTTTATAGTTACTGAAGACACTTGGTTCTCATTTCAAACTACAGTACAGTATGTCTTCACTTAACATCATCAGTAGGTTCTGCAACTTTAAGCAAAACAACGCATAAGGAAACCAGTTTTACCACAGGCTGATTGATATAAACAAGAGTAAGTTCCTATGGCATCTCGTCAATGTTATAATGAAATGACATTATCCAAGGACCTGCTGTATAGACAGAGTAGCCAGAAAAGGAGAGTACAGACTTTCAATGATTTCCCCAGAGAGGCCCTGGCTTCTCTTATTGAAAACTGGGGGAAGGGTTTGAGATTCCTAAAAGACTCATCTCAAGGGTGACAGCTACAACAAAAATAATTATCAAGAGGGAAAATGAATGTAGCTTTCCTATGTTTTAAGTTATACAGTTTATATAAAACAGAAAGGTCAAAGGACACATAGCAACAATGCAGCTGACCGAGTTTTCTTATTTATTAAAGAATAAATTTTGCTTAAAGTTTTAAAACTGACATTAAAACCTAGTTTATCTTTCCACTGAATAAAATTGAGAAAAAGGCTGGCTTTCAGATCATATATTTATTTAAAAAAATAAAATGGATCGACAAAATTACCACATTATTCTGCATGCTAACAGGATTTCCCAGCCCGTGAGAGATACATTTCTTGAGCAATAAAAAAATGACTTCCTTGACAAGGTAAAGATAGGAAGCCTTTCAATTCAAATTCACGGTGTTTATCACTAGTTCCACCTCATAAGCTAGTGGGATATATCTGTGCCACAAGCCGAGCTCCTTAGTAAAGAAAGCTTGAGAAGACACTAAACAAGGATGTCACTAAAAGATGACGATGTGTTAAAATTATAAAGCAACCATCTTTTGGCCTGTAAATATTCGACATTAGAAATCTCCACCACTGGGGATCTGCGCCCCATAACGATTTTATTCTGGATGAATCCAGGATAATTACAAACACATGGCATTTTTTTCCTGCATGCTTTCTTGGGCCAAATCCTGTATGACATGTACAATTTCTAGGATGGGACTTGAAATTCCCATTCTCACACAGGACAGTGTTACCAATAACAAAGAATAAAAGTTATACAACATTGATTATTATAAATTATATTTGTTCTTGTCTGCCCCATTCTCCTTAATGTGTTCCGATTCTTTTCTGCAGAAAACATGAGTTTCCTACATCACACCAATTATGTCATTAATGATGATTAGAATGCGCTGTAGAGGCCTTGATTCTGAAGACATGTATGTGCAGGTGAGACGCAATCTGGTTGCAGACACTAACACAGTAGCGAATCAAATCAAACAAAGAGAAGACCTGGAAAGAACAGAGACCATTAGATTCTCAGGACCTGCTAAGGTCCTCCCTAAGCTTCCTGAAAATGACTTTCTCCTCTTAGATTCACCCTCACGCCCTATTTAATAACTCAATATCCTCATTAATTTTTCCTTTATATCAAGGATCAACAAACTCTTTCTTAGAGACACAGTAAATATTTTAGGCTTTGTGGACCATACTATCTTTGTCACAACTGCTCAACTCTTGCAGTGTAGCATGAAGGCAGCCATAGCTGAACATAAATGAATGGCCATGGCTATCTCCCAATAAAACTTTATTTATAAAAACAGGACACTGGTTCACAAGGTGTAGTTCGCCAACTCCTGCTTTACAGTTAGCAATATGGAATTTATAAGCCCTGATGCAGGCAGAACTAATAATAATGCAAGAAAAAAAAATGGCTCAAAGATGAAGCTCATGGAGCTGTCACTAAGTCCCATAAATGTGGTTTTCTGACATTCCAAATTATGACAATGTTTGTAATTGTATTATATATTACATAATATATATTATCTCTCTCAGGCAGGACTGGCCCACTGAAACATCAAAACAAGCAGCCTCCACATCATAAAATAGGACACAGTATAATACTTACCAGTGCAATCCAAAGTACAATATATTCATCAATAAAGCTGTTAAAATATTGGTCCAGAAACAAAAGTGCCGGGCCTATGAATGCTGTGTCATGCAAATGCATTTCACTTTTAGTCATGTGTGCCACCTATGAATAAAAGAGAATCAGTGATGTGCGCATTGCCATATTAGAGCAATTGAGAGCTACACAGTATGTCAGTATTGTGCTCAAACAGCACATTTCAAGAATTTTTTTAGCAATATCTGTTGAATTTCCCAAACTAAAACACCAACAACATGAAGCGCATGAGAAAGCTATTACACCAAAGGGATGTACCATGTCAGCTAAGTGCCCAAAAGATGCTTTTCCACAAGGCGCCTAATTTGAGTGCATGGACTGAGACTGCAGAATATAGATAAACGAGATAACCAAATTAAATCATGGACAGAGAGAGTTGTATAGATTTATGGGGCTTCTGATAATCTCATATTGTAGCTTCACAGAAGAGTAAAAACAGCTCCCATGTTGATGTCAAGACATTTTGATTGGAGGACAGCAAACTCTAGAACTGCGCAGGAAGGTATGGGATGAAAACTACGGCCATAAAACCAAAATAAGTCAAAAATTAAACACAAAAAAAAAGCCCAACTTTCATGCTTACCACAAGCTTGTTGGTGATTTTAGCAGATACAAAACCAAATGTCAGTATATAAAGACAGGGGTGCTTTTCAAAAAGCTGGACTGCTGACTTCTTGTAGATCATTACAGCTAATGCAATCACTGATCCAATATGGAGAAAAGGAGAAAGGACACTTGTTCCCTGTACAGAGTAAAAAGGAGAGGAATTAACGGTAATAAGTGCTGAACAGGTGCCACATGGGTCTGCTACACCGCAGATCAAACTCAAACTTTTAAGAACCTCATGGTGCTGGACAGCCAACAGTTTCTAATCGGAGCCAGACAGCTACTGAAAAGCAGCGGCCTGGATTGGTTAGGCAGACTGAGGATTTTACTTTGAAGAGGCAGGTTTTTTACAAAGCAGTTCATACATTTTTTTAAAAATGTAAGTGTAAAACAGTGTGTGCACCTGTGTGCATGCATCACAAAAATAAATATGCATATATGAGCATATAAATGTATGCATGTATACATAAAACTGAAGTTTTGGATATTATTTTTTTAAGACTATGGGGAAACTTCAAATCAAGTGATTTTAAACAATTCAAATGAAAAACAAAGCAACCACAAAACCAAGTCCTAGCATAAACAATCATTGGATATATACTTACTGCTATCGTTGATCCATTTTTTCCAACACCACCTGTGAAGATTACACGGAAGTAATTCGTACAGGAAAATATGGTCCCTGCTACAGTACAAAGTGCAGGAAAAATTTTCACTTGGATATTCAGCACTGGAATCTTAAATTAGAGAGAAAGAACAATTAAAATATATACAAGTTGAAATAAGAAACCAGAACAGTCAAATATTTGATTCATATTCTGGTATGTTCTCCATTCCCTCCAGTTTAATACATACGGAAATTAATGGAAGCTTCTCTCTCCTTTCCATTATAAGCAATATAACGTCTCAAGAAATAAGGCTATACAGAATTAATCTCACTCTGAAATCAATCCTTAAAAAAAAATAAATAAGTGATCCAACTTTATTAATTTGTGTCATAAGCTAAGTGAGGCTCACCTAATATCCCAAGAGTGGCAACAGTGAGCCAGGCTACTTCGCCTGGCGTTTTTATACAAGAAGTGTACTTTGCCTTTTTTCTTTGTACATTTTTTAACTCTGCCTCTACATCTGTAATTTGTTACTAACTGTTATGAGAGAGAAAGCGTGGCGTATAAATAAAAGACTAAAAATATTTCTTCCAACTAGATTGGAAGAAATCGGTAAAGAATGGAAGACAAAAGTTCCTTTTAGAAGAGCTCCCAACTCCAAATATGTTAAGATACAGGCAGCTGGTGAAGGCAGAGGGCAACTAAGAAGGAATTCACAGGCAGGGGAGAAAACAACTCAGGTACATCCTTAGCAGGAACTGACAACTCTACAACTGCGTATCCAAATTTTTAATATACATATTTACTTTTCAGAATAAGTAAATAATATATTTTTATAGTATACTGAAAATGATTGATTTACCTCAAATAATGGGCACTGAAATCATCTTACAAGCACAAATCCATGTTTGAAATAAAATACACTTGACTTAAAATTTTAAAATCATTAAGATCCTCTCCCTTTTTACATCTCTCCTTTAGCTTTCCTTAAGTCTCAAATTTTGTCCCATATGGTTTGAAAAGAAAGCAACAGTAAAATGATAGAGTTTAATAATGACTATAAAGAAATAAATGATGACAGCAACAAGATTCCAAAAGCTCACAAAGGTTTAACAGGCAATGAGCTCTTACAATGAAAGCATTTTAATTAGGAGTATTTATACTTTTCAGGGCTGCCATCTGCCTACATTTTGAAATCAAATAGGAAATAGGAAATTTCCCACTTTTAGTATGCATAAAACCCCAGTAAGATTGGTAGAGACATAAATATTCATGTTTATTTCTTCAAAATTCTCAAGAACTCTGTTTACACAACTCTATGACCTCTTGCAAAACTGCAGCTGTGAAAAAAAATGGAAATCAACTGTTCAAATTTCAAGTTGTACTGGGGCAGTGTTTCAGTTTCTAAAATGAAATAGGGCAACTTAAAAATCAAGCGCGGAACTTTATGGAGCACCCTAAATGGTTGTCATCCTTCCCTAACTGATCTCCAAACCCTACAGCCCAAATCAAAACTTTTCAATAAAAGAGAAAATCAACACCATGGTTGCTTTGAACTCCGAGAGATTTTTCTGCTGTAGCTCAGAAAACTAGAAATACTACAATCTAAATTTGATGCACCTGGCTGAAATTCAATATGCTGGCTGGTGTCTTTTTCCTTCCAGAGACAAAAGACCTGTCTGACAAAGAGGGGAAATACTACACTCCCTCAGATTTCAAAAGGAGCAAAGCATTAATCCATTACACGGGCATGCCTGTATTTAGGCCAGGGTACAGCCTGAAGGAGTGCCAACTCTGGCGCAGAGGTAATCTATGCCACAACTAAACTGAATAGCATCACAAGTGTATTTAAAATCTGTAAAATGCTTTAGGATCGTGGAAATTGTTGCCCTTTTAAAGAGAGACTAAACAAACAGATAAAAGCCAGGCAAATTAGTAAATGGCTTGGACCACCAAGCAAGCAAGCAAGTACAGACACAGAAGCAAAGTATCATATTCTCAGGACCCTCTTCACTTCTGTCACATAGGATAGCTATATATTCCAAAGCATAAACTCCTGAGTGTAGACTTTTGATTTTTATATTCTCTCTAGAGCTCTGCTGGTTGTAGGTGCTCGATACATACTTGTCGAACGAAGATCTCACTTTCTCTTACTCTCTGTAGAATTACCGTTTTGAGAGAGTATAAAGACACGTCTTGCTGCCACATTAAGAAGGAAAAAGGTAGTTAGCTACTAGAAGATCTAAGGTAGAGAGAGATGTGGGGTCAGAGGAGTCCCCAAGCCTCACCAGGTGACCCCTTAATAATCGGCACCAAAGGCCCACTTACAGAAAGCACTTAGCAGTGTTGCCAGGTTCACCTCACACCCAATGGAAGGAGGGTGGGCACACTCTGCCTTTCCCAGTCTTTCTCTTTCTGTCCTGGAACTCGTCCAAGGTGGCCAGAGTGCATCCAGCCACTCTATAAAACAGCCAGAAAGCTATATGAAAACACCTTCAACTCAGACCTACCCAGTAGTCTTTGGGAAGAATAAGAACTCCCTTGGGTCATGGTTTCTGCCCTACAGACAGGAGAAACCCTCTGGATTCATGCCAGGAAATTATGCATCCTAATAATATCAATCTAACGTAACTCATTTTCTAAAAGGTTAGAAATGGGAAAAAGACCCTTAATCCTCTGATTTATCAGATTATAAATGACCCATAGTTTGGTTTAATAGTTTGGGTTAATGCAGAATATCAGTTACTAAGCTGTTAGACTAATTTTCTTCTGGGCATAATAAAATGTTTTTATAGGCTTTGTAAACTTCAACAGAAATAGAAAGTATCATTTTGAGGTTACTTTCTTCCAAAGAATGTGGGAATATACCTATTTGTTTTTGATGTATGTGAAGTCTATCAAAATACAATGTAACAATAATTACAGTGTTTACCAAATGGTTAAGAAAAATCACCACATCTGAATTATTTAAAAGAGCACTTCTTAAGTCTTAGTTTAAGAATGAAATACAAATAAATTACATTACCTAATAAGTCTTCAGTTCTGTCTAATGAATAAGGTGTTTCATGGTTTAATACACATTTTTTCAACTACAACATTTAAAAGAATGTCAATAAAAGTAACCATTGTCTGTGGGTCTCTTTACAAGTAATGATATTCTCCTTTTGTTTTTTTAAGATCTATCTGATAGATAGAAGATAGCTCCAAGACATTCTGAAAGGATATATTCTTTTGGAAAAGCAATACACAAAAATGTATTGTTTTGTTTTTTTGCAATATATAAAGCATGCCACTGACTTTTGTGCATGAAAATCCATTCTTTCATTTAAAAAAAATGTATACAAAAAATACCCAACCAAACCAACAAAAACTATAACCTTTGGTAAAAACTCATTTCTTCGAAGAAAAAAAAAAGGAGCAGGAAACAGGTAATACATATGCGGTAGATAAATCACTTACCTTTGCAAAATAGCTGATCTTCTGGAATCAGCTTTATGAAGACATTTGTACTGTTTTTGATTGTTTTTTACTATAAATTTGTTTTCTAAATATCAGTAAAAGCTTTTTAATGAGAATTTGGAAAGCAATTTCCATTTTATGCCTTCAACCTCAGAAGAGATGAAAATTTCTGGACCCTAAATAAATATCATCTCTCCATTTTGGCACATAATTAAGTGGAAGCACTACATGTAGTAATCTTTCCTGAACTAACACATTACAATTCAAAACAGCATATTCAGCAATAAGCCGATAGGTACAAGAAAAAAAGAAAAATAGTGGTCTGAGGTCAAGGTCAATTTTGGGAACCTATTAGGGATTGCTCAAAGAACACAGAATATTTCTGTAAGCCTCCAAATAGCACCAGGGATGTCAAGTCCTGCCCTTTTCATGATGGTAACAGTAGGACCAGTGATGCTAATAAGAGGGGCCCAGGAATCTGTTTTCCTGCTGCAGCCTCACCTCACTAATCCTGGAATTGCACTGCTGGGTTTGGGAACTGGATCTGAAAATCCCTCAGATTACTTTTTAAAACATGCAATAAAAAAAAAAGGATAATTATATTATCTTATCAATAAAGACAGGACAAAATATTTGGCCCTTTTAAAAGTAAAAGAGTTTCACCTGTTATATGTACATATACAGGTTGTGGATAAATCCTAAAAAAAAAAAAAAAAAAGGCAACAAGTATACCTGAAACAAATTTACTACCAGGCAACATCTAAAAAATAAGGATATGTGTGTGGCCTACGTGTGTACATAACTTCAGTTACAACAATTATGTAGTTCCATACTGATAAGGATAATTAGGAATCTATACCTGGTGTGGACTTGTTTTTGGATGATCAAGCCAGAAGTCCCCTTTTCTTTTTGTTATTGGTATGCTGAAACTATGGTAACTTATGTTTAAGATATTCAAAGTAATCTTGGAGGGGGATAGATTTTGGTATAAAACACAAAACCTATTCAAATAATAAATACAGTCAAGAGATATAAAAAATTTAAGTGGGGGTAGGCTTTAAGATCTAGTTTTAGGAAAAGAAAAACTTCCTCTATAGCTCAAATGTTTAAAAAATGTCGTTATAGAACTACTGGGTTATCAGAAAAGTCATGACGCATTTTTGCAACAGAAAAACATAGAAAAAATACATCATGAGTTTTCCGACAACCTAGTATTTTACCTAGCAGAGAGCAAAAGTTAATAAAATTCACTAGTGAAATCTATAGACCTCAGATTTCACTAGAATCTATCTCAGATTTCCTTAGAGACCATATTGGCTTTTGAGACTAATCTGCAGGAAAGATGTGAATCTGAATATTACATACATGACTGAATGGTTTTAGAATTTTCCTGGCTGACCATGGATAATTTTTATTCCTTCCTCTCCCTCCTCACAACCCTGTTCTCCCAACCAGAGGCATTAAACAATTTCTGGTAAGAAATACTTAGGAAAGTGTGTTAATTATACTTCTTCAAGTAACTAACTCACCATCATAAAGTGACTTAGGTAAGGGGAAACTCTTGCTCAGTAAATTCCCCTTATACCTTAAAATTAATCTGATTTTTAAGAGTTATGTTTGGTTAGGAATAGTAAGTCTTTTTCGTAATATCACACCAAACAGATTACAAATACTACATTCTGAATGGGTGGTAGTAGCCGTCAGGAACTAGAGGGGCCAGGGAGTACTAATACTTTGACTCAGATCAGGAAGGATACTTTCCAACTGTAGCAAATTTTATTGAGGGCTTATTATTTGATAGGCACTGTTCTAAGTGCCTTACACGTATCTACTCATTTAATCCACAAAATAACCTTGTTATCCTCAGTTTACAGAGGAGAAAACTAAGCCACAGAGAGTTGAATAAACAGATGAAGTTCGCAGGCAGTAGAGGCTGGAGCCAACTCCGGCAGTCTGGCTTGTAAGTCTGTGTGCTTGGTCTCCATATTATATGTATTACATTCCCTCTTTCAGAAGCTTGTGGGAAAGAATCTGTGATTGTACGAGTGACTATTTTTCAGGTCGGGTTGAAAATCAGGTACAAGTTTGTTAAAACAATCCTATGGCACTGTTTTCAGTAGGCATTTGTCCTGTTTTGAGAACAGAGTTCATTTACTACCCCAAATGTGTTTTTCAGCTTTAAGCATATCACAAAAAAACTTGAAGACTCACAGGATTCAGAAAGAGAATAAAAGATCTGATTTAATCTTGTCATTACTTGATACACTACCTCCTGTTTCCTCAGCTGTAAAACAAGATGACAAAGAATAATTCCGACAGCCTTCAAACATAGCCCTGGAATGCACCTAACATACCACATGATTCAAGTAGTAAAATTCACCAGGCCCTAAAGAGGTGTTTGTGGCCTGTTGTGGCTGTGACTTTTTGTTTTCAAAAAGAATAAAATAATTTTACACATCATTCTTTAACTGGATCATCCTATATTAGAAACAAGCAAAAGACAACATGCATTACATGGGATACACAACGTGAACAATTACCATCGATTGCCAAAAAGGTGGTCCTCCAATCACTGCCAGCAAATGCATGATTATTATGAAGATTTGCACTTCAGTCACATCAATTCTGATTAGGTACAAAAAGCCAAAAAAGCAGAATTACTCAAAACAATTTCAAGTTAATTACTTGCAAGCTTAGCAGCATTCCTCTATCATGCACAATAGAAAAAAAAAATCTCAAATATTGAGGAAAGGGGAAAAGGAGGTGTCAAAACTTTGTTATGAGCAAAACCAAATAACATCCAGAGCCTTTTCATTTAATTTGATGAATTTCACAGAGCAATAAAAACCCCTCCTCTTTCCAAAGGAAATTTCTGACTCATTGAAGTTGGGCTGAAACTATAGCGTTACCTTTCCCACCAAAAAAGAAAAATAAAAAGGTGTGTGTGTGTGTGTGTGTATTAAATTTTGAGCGTCAAGCAGAGGATTTCATTGCACTGCAATATATATAGGAGATCTTGAAATAAGTGCTTTGTAGTATCCAATGGAAGAAACAGTGAGCTTTCACTAAGTAACAGAAGTCACAGACAACTTGCAACACTTAACTGCCCTTTAGATACATTCATTTAATGCCTTCTATGGTGTGGGTGTGAAAAAAGTTTCACCCAATGCTCAAATTCTCATGCTTATTAGGTCAACTACCCTAAGATTTCTGGAAAGAAGATACTGAAAGCAGTCAAAAATTAGCTTTAAGGTTGCTGAAAATGATCTTACAGTCAAGAAGAGACAAACCTGGCACAAAAACAGGGCAGTAGAAATTAGAAGTCTGAAAGTCTGGAAAAAAAGAATGCGGGCAAAAAGATTGAGGAGCAAAGCATAAAACTGCGTTTCCTTCTGCAGACTAGTGCTGTATAAAATCTTGAGACTATTCATCTCAGATGACTGGATCCAAATGTCTTTTAAGAATTTATCCTACAGATATGCTTGCACAAAATGTTTGTACAAGGTTATTTATTACAGCTTTTTTTATGAGCAAAAATTTTAAATTATCCCTCAATGAGGGAGTAACAGTTATAGAAATTATGGTAGTTCCACACAGTGGAATATTTGGTAGCTTTTTAAAAATGAGTGGGGTGGTTCCCTACATTGTGATATAGAAAAATATCAAAGATATATTAGGTAAAAAAAAAAAAAAGTTCCAGAATGTGTATATGCTACCTTTGTATAAAAATGAAAAATAATATTCTATTTTGATTGTTGCCATTAATTACATAACAAATTTCTAGACGGACACATTACAAACTACGACCAGTGGCTACCTATTGGAGAGGACAGTGTGGGAACTGGACAGCTGGGTGGTGAGGACGGGAAGGAGGCTGTTACTGCATACCTTTTTTATAATGTCAGTTTTTAAACAAAGTGAATAATTTATTTATTAAGAAAGTACATGAAAAAAACTCAGTCTAAGAAAAGTAGCTATCAACAATAGCAAGGAGGATCGATTCCCAGAGAACAGAACCCCCATTTTTAAAACTGATACTGAAAACAGACAATCTATAATGTGAGCTTAAGATAGGTATGCTCTCACGCCCATAATAAATAACGAAGGTTGAAATCAGTCTCTCACAACTAAAAAAAATTGATCTGTTAGCTCAAGAATGTTTTTTAAAATAGAAGCTTATTAAGCTGCAAACGTATAGTGATGTCGTTATGTTGCTATACACATTTCCTGGAAAAAGCTGGACTGAGTTAGGCTATAAAGAATCTGTAGAGCTGACCTGATGAGTGGTGTTGCCAATAGGGGAAATTACACTCAGTAGCAGGCTCAGGAGGCTGAGCAGGTGTCAGAGACGATCGACTCTGTCTTGGGTGGAGGAGGGCAGACATCTTACAACATTTTGCTGGACATATGAAGTAGCCTTTTGGGAGGGGAAGGGCCAGAAGTATAGAATTACAAAATAAAAATGGAGGGAACCTCATGCAATTAATCTTTGTACCTTGGGTAAATGTAAAAGAGAACAGGAAACATGAAAGATCTTTTCAAAGCCCCACATTGGGATACCTAACAAATGCTTCAGGTCTGAATTCCAACAAGACTCAGTGTCTAACTGCGGGATGTCAAGGGATTTTAACTGGCATTCTGTACAGTTGATAAGCATGTTAGTCATCTTGCCCCAGAAGTTTTTATGTCTTTCCCCTCTAATATCAGAAATAAGACAATTTAATCTCTTTCTTCTAGATGTGACATATGCATTTCAAAGATATACTTTGCATACATAAATGTTTTGTTAAACTATACACAGTGAATATGACTGTGCTGTAATCTGGGTTGGCTACTCGCTTGGTTAACACAGAATATACACCAGGGCTGAATTCAAAATGTCACAGAAACCCTGATTTGTACTATTTGTCTTGTGAGATATTCTTTAAAAAGAAGTTTGTTTAAAAAGTCACTGAAGGTGTCTGGAGTCCTATTCAAGGATTAGATTGCAATTAACTACAGATTTGCAATTATTTGTAAATGGATCTGAAATACTAGGGAACTTATGTGTAATCAGAATTCAGAATTCATTATATACTTTACTAGAAATACCATGGTGGGTGGGGTGAAGACTGGTAGGCTGGAATAAAGATTAGCCTAGAAATTTAATATACTGTCTTTCAGTATTTTACTTTCTACCCTTAATAAGGGGCAAATTAGGCATGCAAGCTTACATTAATGTTAAGTAACATTACCCATATAGCTGAGTGATATAATTATGAGTATTTTAAATTCAAGTGTTATCTACAGAGAAAGTCTAAGTATCTATTTTTGAGATAAACTGAATTATTTAAAACAGCATTATCTACCACATGTATGACCATATGGATTTTTAGATTATTGGAGAAGACGTAAACAAACAAAAAACCCCAACCCATCTAGTGACTTTACAAAAAAAAAAAATAGCCTAAGGCTACAATAGAACAAGTCCCCTAAGAGGAATTAAAGTTTAGGTTTCAAATTTAAGGGGCAGCCTATCTTTATCATCTTTGGAAAGAGAAGAATTAGGAGAGTCCTCTCACCTTATTTAGTAATAATACTGCAGTTAATAAAGGGATCACAGACATATTCTTCCTCTCAAATTAGCACAATCAATTCCGGAACAAATCTGGAAACTACTGGGAGTTCCTAACATAGGTCTTAACATTAATATAGTAATAATGATAATGAATAGTTATTATATGCCAGGTAATGTAGCTATTATTAGCACATTACATTTTTTGACTCTTAATCTTCACAACCATCCCAGGAAGGTAGGACTTTTCCCACCGTTTTGTAAATGAGGAAACGTAGTCAGGTAGGTTAAGGAACCTTTCCAAGGGCCCATTACAGAGATAATATGTGGCAGAGCCTTGAAGGAAACGGAGTGTGGTTCCTACACAGCGCTAACCAAACTCCTCATTTTTAGTCTACTAGTCAACAGGAACAAACATTTATCATATGTTTTTAACTTGCTATCACTAAGATGTCTGTCTGTTTCAGGACGTTTCTTCTCATATTCTAACACAAGTTTCCCTAACATGGTAGAATACAATAGGCAACAGCTGTCATAGGAAGTTTAGATGCTGATAAATTAATGTGGAAACAAATTAGAAATAACCACTCTTTCTGAAGCTTTCCCCCCCGCCCCGAACTTTGTTTATAAAAAAAAAGTACATCTGGCAATTTCATTTCAATGACCAAACCAGTTAAAGCGACAAATATTAAAAGCAAAAGAATAATCCTGCAAGTTAGCAGCAACTGGTAAAAGTGAAGACACTGTATCTGGAGAAAAAAACATTTTTCATGTTAAAATTAAAATGCATTAGTTTCTAGAAACATTTTAGTAGGAAGGGCTCTGTAAATACAGGGTGCTTGCTATCATAGACAAACAAGGTGAAAGTAAATAATACAGTCAATCTCCTATTAATTTCATTAAGAATATTGGAGCAAAGGACCTTTGGTGAATCTATAATTAATAATACATGAGCTATCAAAAATTATAAATCTAGACAACTGCAGTGAGCATAAAGCTTTAGGTCTTTGGAGCAAGTACCAGAAGACAGGTTAACAGTAAAGACGTGCTAAAGAATGACTCGTCCTGAACTATGCATATTTTTCTACCCTAGAAAGGAATTCCACAAATAATCATATAAATACAATGTAAATGCAACTGAAAATGGCTTTAGTTTTGCTCCTAAAAGATGCCTATAGTATTCTCAGTATTCTCCACATTCCAAGTTTATTTGGATAAAAAGATGTAGAATATCCTTCACTATTAATTTGTCCCCAAAGTCATCATCACTGCCATTGAATAACTGGATTTACGATGCTGCAAGACCGTTCAGAAAGAACTCTGCTACCAGAGACTCACTATTTGTGTCACATTATTGTAGCATTTGGGGGCATGGGGACTCAATGTAGGAAACCTAATGTAGCCTTGGATTGCTAGAATGATCTGTTAGGTGTCCATATAAACAGTTCCCCAACACTCCCTGACCTGCAAAATTAACAGAATTTAGGTTCTATTTTTCTTGTAAATAAACCTTTTTAGTATGAAAAGGTTTATTTACAAGAAAAGTGTGAAGGATTCTGGGCTATTCTATTGAGAAAACATTTCCTAATGAGTCAGAAGGTCAAAATTATACTTCTAATATAAGAATATTACTCAGTGTTAAGGAAATGTATGTTTACTAAACACAAACAAACAAACCTGAAAAAGGACAGTATTCAAAAGATGACTACAGTAACATGAAAGCAAAGGATACTTAGTTTTAAAAGTACAGCTAAGAGTGAAAAACAGTAAACAAAACAAACAGAAGTGAGAATAGCTTCTAGCAATAATTTTCTTAAAAACCAAGATCATTGAAAATAGAAGCAAAAGAACTAGTACTACATTGCTTAAAGGATATGCTGAAGAAGTTAACAGAATAAACAGAATCTTTCCTACATTACTATAAAAAGTCCTCTCAACTGACCTAAGGAAAACTCTGCTTGCTTTATTGTTTTTAAAATATAAATACCAAAAAAATTCTATTTAATGGTGGAAAGGTGTTTGTTTTAAAAATATTACATAGAATAAAAATGATATTAGGTACAGTACAGTA